AAAAGTCATAGTTGATTCTTTGACTTTTCATCTAGAACATGCTATACACCTGCATCATCATCCCCTAACAATCTGCTAAATAGTTTGCCACTCGTGTTAATAAACCACAATGACTCCTCAATTTATTCACACAAGGAACAGGAAGAGCTAACACAATTACCATTATGAGACTGTCACCTGACAAAGTTACATCTATCACACAGGGCAAGATAAAGGAGGAAAAACATAATTCAGTGCCGGGGTTTTTTTTTGTGGTTATTTTTTGGTTGGTTGGTTTGGGTTTCTTTAGTTTTTGGGTTTTTAACTGTTTCCCCTTCTTTCCTTTCCAGCAGGAAAAAAAATCTGAAAAATCTATGTTATCTGTAATTCCTCTTCTCCATCAGTGAATGGAAAACTGCAGGAACTCCTCAGATGGCAAGCTGGAAACAAGAAATTATGCCGAACTTATGTAACCCTCTCATAGGAGAAACACTATCATCCTCATTACTGCGTTACAGTAATATTAACTGTCTGGCATACAGTACAGCATGCTCCACAAACATCTTCCTAAACTATGAATGGACATAAATACATTTAGATTGTTAAGCTGTACCAAAAAGTCTGAACAAATTTAAGCAATTTCTAATTGAAGGATAGGGAGACTTGATGTGAACATTTTTCAAAGACGGGGGTTTACACACACAGGCTGGACCAACGTCAGCACAACAATGTGTGGCAACAACATACAACCACAGAGAAATATCATGATTTGATATTCACAAACACCGTACTGAAGATTCAAAAACTGCAAAGGCAAAGGATCGTACGGTTACAGAGCCATAACCTAAAAACCCCTCGCATCATTCAAAAGAGAAAACGGGAACACAGAGGCAAACACCACTTACCTGCCAGACCTTCACTATAATTATCACCACCTGCAGACAGACTCTTTTCCATAAGCTAGTATGGCACACCAGGGAACATCCAGAGATTCCCACAGTGGACCTCTCTGCCAATAAATGTTTGGTTTCATATTCCAGATACAGGCAAAGAAGTATATTGTCTCTTCCATGCCTTTCACACTTGTGCCAACCGTGCTGGAAAACACTGATCCAGATCAAAACTGACAGAATATGCTTCTGTTTTCCTTCTTTCTTCCAAAAATGGATCAGTTGTAAGATGTGCCTGTAAAATCTTTAAAATGACTGGCTATCATGGAACCTGGCTCTCAAAACACTGAAACCTGACTATCCAAGAAAACATGAGGTTCGACAGAACTCTGCAGCAAAGCCATCAACGGGAAGGTGTGTAGCACGCTTCCAAATCTCTATACAGTCAACGTAACACACGGAGGAGGAAGGAAAGACTTTTGGATGGCTATAGGGAAGAAAGAGAACAACCACCTTTTAGATACTTCATGGCTAGAAAGAGTCGGTTAAACAGGAGTTTGCTAACATATTCCTCAGCTTCAACTAGGTAACTATGCAGTAAGGGGAAAAACAAACCCTAAAACACTCAATAAGGAAACAGGCTTCCCTGTTTGAAACTCCTGTAATGCTGGTACTAATTCCCAGGCAGGAAGTGGGAGCAGAATGACTAATTTAGGCTTTGCATTCAGCTCCTGACCACAAGCAGCACAGTGGTATGACATATTGCAAGGAGTTCCCCACCCCCTACAGGTGTGGACACTCATGTGATCAAAACATTCTGAAAACACACATACACAACAGAAATCCTTCTGACAATTTCTTAAAGATCACAATAATCCATTATTTCACAGCTTTTTAATAGATTGATTTGAATATTTATGCTCATTCATTTTTGAATATAGGCCAGAGTTTTCCCATCATCATCTAAACAGAGAGCTGGAGATCATAGAATCAGAGAATCATGGAATGGTTTGGATTCGAAGGTACCTCAAAGATCATTAATTCCAACCCCCCTGCCATGGGCAGGGACACCCTCCACTACAACAGGTTGCCCAAAGCCTCATCCAACCTGGCCTTGAACACTTCCAGGGATGGGACATCCACAACTTCTCTAGGCAACCTGCTCCGCTGCCTCACCACCCTCTGAGTGAAAAATTTCTTCCTTATATCCAATCTAAATCTGCCCTCATTCAGTTTAAAGCCATTGCCCCTTGTCCTATCACTACATGCCCTTGTAAAAATTCCCTCTCCAGCTTTCCTGTAGGCCCCCTTCAGATACTGGAAGGCTGCAATAAGATCACCCCAGAGCCTTCTCTTCTCCAGGCTGAACAGCCCCAACTCTCTCAGCCTGTCTTCATAGCAGAAGCCCTCGGATCATCTTCATGGCCCTCCTCCGGACCCGCTCCAGCAGCTCCATATCCTTCGTGTGCTGGGGACTCCAGAGCTGAACACAGTATCCGAGGTGGGGTCTCACGAGAGCAGAGCAGAGGGGCAGAATCACCTCCCTCGACCTGCTGGCCACACTTCTTTGGATGCAGCCCAGGATACAGTTGGCCTTCTGGGCTGCCAGCGCACATTGCTGGCTCATGTTGAGCTTTTCATCCACCAGCACTCCCAAGTCCTTTTCCTCAGGGCTGCTCTCCATTCTCTGCCCAGCCTGCACTTGTGCTTCGGATTGCCCCGACCCACGTGCAGGACCTTGCACTTGGCCTTGTTGAACTTCATGAGGTTCTCATTACTATATATACATATATTTACACATGTATACATATTTCGCATACATGCATACACAAACACACGCATAAATATCATGTTCCATCAAGTTTAAAGTCTAGAGGCATCAGAGGAAACTGAACAGTGGGCCTAAGAGACAGTTACGGTACAGTGATGCACCAGGGAGGCAAGAATAGATTCACATCTGTATAATGAGCAGATCATGTGAATCACGTAAGTCAACTCAGACAAGCACAGGATGTTCACCTCTGACAAAGAAAAACACTTTTCCTTCAGAATTTGGTAAACAAAATAAAACCCACCAGGTGCACTAAGCTCCTGCTAAATTCATCATAACAGAAGGAAGAGAAGCAAGAACACAACATGAGTCTTTGCCAATAAAACATTCCCCTAACTCCATTTGGCACTACAAGGTGCTCCACAGTTGCATGTCACTTTCTGCTGGCCGCCAATTTCATATTTACTTTATTTTAGAGACACTGTGCACATAGTAGTGCAAAGCCACAGAGCAAACCTGGATGAAAATTTGGCAGGGAACAGGATGATGAACAGCAGGCTACAATTCTAAAAAGAGTCAAGAAAAAAGTATCAGCATTGAAATGAACCGATCTGAAATTGTCTGTTTAATCAGCTCCTGAGGCTACAGGCATTTTAAACCCACAAGCTTCTGTGGCTAGGCTATATAAAAGCTGCTTTACAACCCATAGTGGTTTGAATTGTAACAGCATGGGTGGAGGGATAAGCTGAAAATACTTAAAAGGTTCCTGGGTAATTTGCCAGCACTTACTATAACAATCAGTCACGTGTGCTGGTTTCACAAAAGAAAAAAAAATAATCTAAGAATGGTGTAGGAATGGGGCAGATCCAAGTCCTTTCAGTACATAACTCTCATTCTGTTTTTAAGGTTAACTCAAACCTACATACTCCATGAGAAACCTCACCATAAAACTGATCATATGAAGGTTAAAAGGGGTGAAAAATGTCTTGAATATTGTGGTTCTTGCAACCTCTATGCTGAGCCTGCCAGTGTAATACACCACAGCTACTGCACCAGTTAGCTGGCTTGACGAAAAATAACTCTAGCATTCTCTAGCAGGAGAATGAGAAGGCTTAGTGCAGAAATCCAGTTAGCTATCAAAAATCAGAAGAGGAAGATAACCCAAGGAACTTTATAAGGTTGGTAGATTTGAATGGAAACATCTTTCCAATAATCATTTGACTTCCCGTTTATAAATTTCATGCAGTATCTTCTTCCTCCACAACTGCATTCTCTCAGTATGTTGCATAGTCAGTCTAGCTCAAAACACCATTGTGAGATGCAGGCATTATATTTGCAGAATTTTATTAAGAGGAAGTAGCTGCAGAGTTAGGTAAAGTGATTTCTTCCTCAGCAGACAAGGAAACAAAGCCCAGAACTCCTAATCCCT